CATCCGAGGGTAACAGAAACCACGGAAATCAAAACTGATACTTCTGCAAACAAAATAATAACTATACATGCATCAGATTCCACAGGGAACCCGAAATGAATTTTCCTGCTTCCAAACAGGACCAGTTACTCTCCTGCATTATAAACAATGAATCTCTAGCTTTCAATAGTATGTCGGCACAGGAAACAGCCTTGATAGTCAGAGGACCCCTGTGAATGCTGACTTGGAGCATGTGTCTTTTGCTTGTCCTGCTGCACACTCTTCATGCTTCCTAGCTTGTTCTCCTCTGAAAAATAGCTCAAGTGTTCTGTATATAGTGTGACAAAACTTCTAGTAAGCCTAAAAAACCAAACGATATTAACTGAATCTGAAGATGGAGGAGGATTCCAGCTATTTTAAGAAGCGTTTTCTCCAACGGAACAATTAATGCCTGTCTTAAATTAAAGGGATGGGAGAAAGAAAGTGGAGAAGCAAGACAGTTTATTTCCTGGAGCTGTAGCATAATCGTTCCTTATTAGTCTTAGCATCTTTGTTGTTTGTTTCTTTGTTTTAGTCTTGCTAGGAAGGCTGGTTTTACCATACTCTCTAATTTTTTTACTAAGACAGATGCCAGTGTGAGATTTAAACTGTTCGCTACTTCAGTATTTATTCCACTAAATAAATCAGTGCTCTGATTCTGTCTTCCAAGGAAGAAAATACTCCAGTTCGGACTGAAAAGTTCTCCACTGCAGGCTGGGCATCCATGGCAGAAGGTGGCAGGAGTTTAGGTGAGCAGAAGTTCCTCCTCTGCAGGTAAGCCCACCTTGATTATAGCATTTTATCAACCCCGGTCTTGCTTTTCCACTTTGGGGGGTCCAGATGGCTGGCCCAGGGGTACTTACATGAGCCTCGTTTGGCCAGTCCAATGTTCTGACCCTGGAATACAACTCCTGAGGACAACAAGGCCTGCTCAAAAATGACAATGTGTTGTTCCCAGAAGTCTCTCATCAGTGACTGCCCTAGATCCCAGAGTCTCCCTGCTTTGGGATGCTCCTTCTATTTGCATTTTAGGAATTTCCTTTGATTCTCACCACTAGCCTGGGCTTATTTTTGTTGTTGTTGTTTGGTTTTTTGTTTTGTTTTGTTTTGTTTTGTTTTTGTTCTTGCTCTTTTAAATTATCTTGAATGTATTTCTTACACAATGAGCAAACAAAGCCTGGGATCCCCACTGCTATCCCTGACAAGGGCAAGGCATAGCTTTAGTGAGTATCCCAGAATGTGCAATGGCAAAGAGTTTTTCTAGGCTGAGAACGCTTTGCCACAGTAGCCTAATCAGAATCTCTCTGCCCTTAGAACTGGCGTAGTGAGCCTTTACCATGCCTCATTTGTTTCACTCCATATTGTCAATACAGGGCAGCATTAGGATTCATTTCAAACTATTTTTGCTTCTTTTCAGGCTGATATCATTTATACTTTTTAAAAATTCTTTATTAATTACACTTTTCATTTAACTTTTAAAAGCCACTTTTTTTGTACTTCAGCATTTTAGAGCCTCAACCCATACATTACCTGAACACTCAATGATAGGGGGAGCTGGTCTTCCCAAAACTAACCAATGGAAGTGTAATGAGACCATCCTCATAGTTTTAAATTTCTCAGTAACTACATGTTTTAAAAAAGAAAAAAGAAAAAAATAGGTAGCATAAATTTCCAATAATGTATTTCATTTAATGCAATGCTTTTAAAATCATATTTCTACCTACAGTCAACATACAGCTATTATTGAAATATTTTACAGCTTTATAGAATGAGTGTTTGAAATCCAATGCGTAATTTACACTTACAGTGCATCTCAGATCAGCCGTAAATTTCTGCCACAAATGTTTTGCCTAGTACTTGTCACAGTGATGCCAGCCTATAATTCCAGAGCTTTGGGAGCTAAAGCAAGAGGAGTGAGGTTCAAGGTCAGCCTGAGGTGCAGAGTGAATTCGTGTGATATATAGATAGGCTCAAAACCAAAGGGGGAACAAGGGAGGGAGGCAGAGAGACAGAGATGGAGAGAAAATACTGGCCCAAATACAGACCTCCCAAATTTAACAGTGGAAAAGGCAAAACCAAGTTGTTGGAACACTTCCATGATTCTAATAAATGTATTGAGAAACAGTTTTTAATTAAATTAACTAAGATTAAGCATAGTCAAAACCCACTCTAAACAAGCTTATTTCACAGGTCTGGTGGGGACTTTGTAGGACCCTCCCCGGCTCCCAAAGCTTGCTGCACTATCGGGCATGCGAGTCAGGTGTTTTAACCAGGACAGAGAAATGGTAAAGCATCTCAGATCTTACATGAGGTACATGTTCATGAGAACATGAGGCTTAACATGTTAAAAAATGTCTACAGTAACTTTTGTCAACCTTTCCGCTTGAGCTATTGCTGTGGTTTGGATGGGTCCTTTAAAAGTTCATGGCAAGTCTCAGATTCACATGCTAATAGTATGCAGAGCTAGGACCAGTAGGAGGTTGTTAGGATGTGGGCATGAGGCTTTCTAAGAAGAGGGATCCCACTCAGGCACACTCTGCTTACCACACAGTATGCTCCCCGAGGGAGCCAGAACCATCCGTGTGGATTTTCCAGCCTTGGAACTGTGAGTCAGATTGAGTCTTTTGTGATTTATCCAGTCTCAGGAATTGTTACAGTACCAGAAAATGCACTGACAGTTATGCTGAATCTTATTAAACTACAACTTGACTGTTTTGCCAAATTTTAAGTTTGGTCATTATTTCCTCAAGTTTTTGTCTGGTTCTCTTCCCCTGGTGCCCTCTAACTCACTCTGCCAGGCCATGGGCACCCGGCTAGGACTCCCACTGCTGGGTGGCTTAATATGATCCTACAACTCACCTCTGTCTCTGTTCTTTCTGGTTGGCCCCAATCTCTTTTTGTTCTTTGCTTATGTGTTTGTGGTAGTATCTCTTTAAGTGTTTAAGTGTCTTCAATTAAACAACTCTTTTCTTCTGCAATATCTGAGCTGTTAACACCTTCATTGGTAGTGGCCCTGCCCCCCCCCACTCCAGCTGCTGTAGGATGTGTTGTTTTTAATGACACCTGCCATTCTTCTCCTTACCCCAGGTATACTCTGCTGTCATTTTAGCACACAGAGAACAGCCGCAGAGAGGACACGTGCATGTAAGAGCTGCTTCAATATTCTTGTCTTCTGTTATCCGTGCGGGTTTGAGTCTGTTCCTATTGCTTTTCTTCCTTTCTTTTCTTTTCTTTTCTTTTCTTTTCTTTCATTTATTTCCTGATTTTTTTTCCCGTTTATCTGATACTAATGTGCTACTGGGTATCATGGTGTTTTCTTAGTCATTTTGTTATTGCTAGCTTTTTATGCTCCTTTAGCTGTTTAGATATATTCTTATGGAATGAAAATTAGTTATATAGAATCATTTGATGCTTTGAGAATCATTTTTAGGCTTCTTAGATATTTTTAGGCTTCTTCGTTTTCAGTATAGGTGTACTTTGGCCTCCTGCCATGAGGATTCAGCCGGATACTGCCCTAATTAAGAAGTCTCTCCTCCAATTCTGGAAAATGGGAATGAAGAGTCCTCCTGGCACAGGAGACAGCCTGTCTACATTTGTCCAGTGGTTCTCTTAGCTAGTCCTTCCCTCATTTTTGCTCACAGATCCATTCAGCAGGTTGGAAGGGACCATTCTGCTCATGTGTTTTATCTCTGGTAGACTGTTTGGGCTGTCATGCCATTGTCCTAAAACTTACGAACATCAGGAATGTACTCATCACAGACTGGAGGCGGCAAAGGCCAAGATCAAGGCAGCAGGCCCGGTGAGGATGCACACTGGTACATTGACCACCATCTAGCCATCTGCTACACGAATGAAGCTCATGAACAAGCTCCTTCAGATTTAAACCTTATGAGGTCACTGTTGCCACCCTTAGGTCCTGCCCTTGGGATCTAAGCATGTCCTAAAGAGCCCAACTGCCTAAACCCATCATCCTGAAGGTGGGATTTCAAGTATGAGTTTGGGGGATGGGTATTCAAACGTTTATAGTTTACACCTTCCTGCTCTCACACATACATTTCTATCTCTGTAACAGTCTCTTTTCCAGGACTCTTCCCAAAATATCCACTCACCAAGACCACCTGGCTCTGTTCCCCTCTAGTGAGCCAGGACACTGGAGTGTTTCTGCAGCATTCTCCCTTCTCCGAGGCATCACTGTCCAGTGCTGTCTTTAGTTCAGTGTCTAACGCTGTTGCTTTCGTCCAATAATGGTGCTTCACACGCTGGTCCAGTCTTACAATTGTGTAAGGGCAGAAGGTAAATCATGTTGGTCTATCAGTTGCTGAGCGGTGAGTAAATGTTGACAGACGGCCTGCTATACATGAGAGATTGGAAAGAGACTCTGAAAGACATATAGTCTCATTCCTCACCTCACCACAGCCCAGCAGGAGAAAGCTTTCCAGTTACGGGTGTGATAGAGAGGATGAAAATGTCATGAGAGTAAGCAGGGTGACAAAAAAAAAAAAAAAAAAAATAGGAAGATCTAATTTAGTCCAAGAAATGAAAAATAAATAAATAAATAAAATAAAGCAAGAAAGCTACCCAAGATGGAATATTTTAGCCAGAATTTAAAGAATGAGGAGCATCTGGTATGTGTGCTCTGCAGGGCAGGAAGAATGCCAAGAGAAACAGCCAATGCCAAACATGTGTGGCAGAATGGAAACCCTGGGATCATCCAGCCCAACACTTAGACTTCCAAATCCGGAACAACGGCCCAGAGACCCTGTGCCAGTGCAGAGCAGGGCCCAGAGACCCCTATGCCAGTGCAGAGGGGAGCCCACACTGAAACCAGGACTCCCATTTCAAGCCTGGAGTTGCTCAAATGAGCAAAGAGAACACCAGAACATCTCGCATCGTGGTAATTGTCATTTTACGGTCTGTGATATGGCATGCATGACACCTAACCTTATAAGTTATTTTCATTTAAAGAATAATTATCGCCAAAATTTTACTCAAGATATATTTTTAATTGCCAGTATTTTAATATATTTACAAAGTACATGCTGTGAAGTGTTTGCTTTTTTGCTTGTTTTTGTTAAAGTACAAGAGAGCACAAAACAGAAAAGAAAGAGCAGTCCTGTGAAACCAAAAAAGAGTCTTAATGGCTGGCATGTGTTCACTCAACTTCCTAAGTGTCTGATGAGACCCAGGAGGATCCCACTCGGCAGGCTAATCTGAGAGTGCTTTCAGACATTTGGAGAGAGGCAGCCACTGCCCCACTCAAAGCTCAGTGTGCATAATAAATGGCAGTTAAAGCTCCCTGAAGATTTTCAACTTGAAACTCAATTGAAACTATGTATACATAGATTCACTAGAACAGACTTCGGATCTGTTCCAAAGTATATTTACTTTTACCATGGGTGACCTGGCTACACACAGCTGCCTTGTATTTGCATAGCTATTTTCCCTCGGTTACCCTAGGTATTTCTCATGGATGGCTTATAAGATTGAATACATATCAAATGTCAATAGAATTCAATATATGGCGCTTTCAATACATATATACAAAGAGTCAGCTATGTACCAGGACTAGAAATACAGTCCCAAATCCATCAATCTGGAAGGCTCTCCTATGATACTACTGGCCCCTTTCCATCCTGACTGTGTCTAAACATGACTTAACTTTTATTAAAAAGACAATCCGCCATATAAAACAGGCCTCTGCTAACTTCTAAGCTTTGCAAAAACGTGTAGTAGTTCAATAATTTAGGTGTCAAATTTTTCCATTTTAGTTTAAGTAGCCCAAGCTGCCAGCTGCTTGAAGTCATCGTCTTCCTCCGCCCTCCTGGAAGATGCTGGAATGTAAGAGTGAGAAAGTCAGTCATTAGTGCCATTTATACTCTCAGCACAGAAAACAGGCAGGAATTACGCAGAAAATGTGTTTACGTATACAAATCAGGCAGAAGCAAGTACTGAAACAGCGGGCCTGGCTAGCGCTCTGGGAACCCGTGTGAACACAGGTCGCAGGGAGGGTAGCAGACCTGCTCTCGACCGCTGCACAGAGGAGGGCACGGCCTTCCTGCTGGGCTGGGCTGGCAAGGAAGAGGAAGGCACATTCGGAAGCTCCATGTTTGTCATCTTCTTATTTAATTCCTCCTGCTCCAGTTCCTCGAGTTCCGCCAGCAGCTCATCCTGAACAAGGGAGAAAGAAAGAATTACGCAGTTAATGTTTTCCGGAGGTGGGCTTCCCTAAACACAACAAGAAGAACATCTGCTACCCGAATAAAACTGCTACCCAGTGAAACGGAGTATTTATTTTAAAACTAAGCTCTTCTTTTTTTGCAACACTGAGCAATGATTAGAAATGAATATTTTGGGTTGTACAAATTTGTTGTAGTTAATCTTATAATACTTCAGTAAACAGCTATTCAAGTAATTTGTGCTGAATATATAATCTCCTCAGGTTCTGGAAATTCACACCTTGATTGTTATTTTCCCAGTGTGCTCGCTTTTTTTTTTTTTCTCCTGTTGAGAATCTCTGCCACTTTAATTAGAGGAAATAAATATTTTTATTTGAGTTAATGTTATTGAAGATAAAACAAGCATAGAAAAGATATATTGCACAGAAAGATTTTTTTTTTAAGATACCATAGTGTCTCTATCAAATCATCAAAGTCAATATAAATTGTGTGTTTATGTGATTTTGTTCACAGTGCTGGGGACAGAATGCACCTTGTTAGTGCTAGGCAAATGCTCTTCCTCTGAATTATGTCCCCAACTCATGTGCTTGTTTTAGTAAAACTTCAAAATTGGTGTAATGTGTATTTTCATTTACGGTGGCCCCAGAACGTCTGCCTTCATCTTGGTGCAACCTCTACCCCACACCTGTAGAAAGCTAAGGTCAGCTTGTGGCCTCAGAGATGTGGATCAGCTCTTGCCTAGTCTGACATAGCTCACAGCTACCTGACTTGGGAAGCCCTCCAGCATACATCGGCCCTGCTGGAAGTGAGTGGCCATCCCACAGACCTGGCGATATGCATGATTAATGTAATCCACTCCGAATGCTAGGGAGAGAACCCAGCTCCTCTGCAAATGCAACAAATGCTCTGAACGTCTGAGCCATCTCTTCAGCCCCAGACCCCTACCGTTTTTTAACACTGCTTAACAGCAAACCGTTTCCTAAGCCTCATGGGCCACATCTCCACTTGTTGGACTCATCCTCTGTCAGATGACATAGAAACAGGAAGCTGTGCTATTCTGTCCCTTTGGAATGTGCCTAACAACGCCCTCATCCTGGACCCGTGTGGCTTGAGGGGAACCACTGAAATTTTCATTGTGGGCTCCACGAGTGTAACCAGAGTCTTCCTGGACTATGGGACTGAATAATATCAATGGAATGGGAGTGTAAATAATGCCTTTCCACAATTACACAATTACTTGTTTTATAGGCTGAGTAATAAACAGAGGCAGCCTAACTCCCAATTTAACAGCCACAGAGCACAATCCATCTGCTGCTTACAGAGTGACACCGTCTGCTCCATTTGGCCAGATGTGAGAGCTCACGCTCCCTCATAATGGGACTATTTATTCTCCAACCATTACAAGTCACTAACTTTACATAATCACGTGCAGTTTGCTTTTTCCTTAATAGCTGGAAACCTAATTAAGAAGCTGTTTCCCAAACTAGTCATCTTTCCTTGAAATCAGCTACTAACACCTCATTTCCCTTCTAGCAAACTCACTTGCAATAAATATCATTTATCTGCTAAGCAGTGAACAAATTGTCTGTGTCACGTGATAGGAAGCTGTCACCGACAGCAGCCGCAGTACACACTCTTTGGTATGGCACCCACCTCATCAAAGCCGTCAGCAAACTGAACCCTCTGAGAGAACGCTTCGGAGATTTCCTGGGCAATGTCCTGCTGCTCTGTTATATCCTGCATCAAGTCGTCGATCTTGTTCAGATCCCTGGGAAACATTTTGTTGGGGTTTTAGAATCTCATCTTACAATTATGAGTCTTGACTTAATTCCATGTGAAAACCAGATTGATTTCAGATATACTCATTAGTTATTTCAGCACTGTAACAAAAATCCCTTGGTTCATCATTTAGTGATTAAAAAAAGAAATACTAATTGCATGTCAAAAAATTTAGCCATCCTATACAATCACGTGTATTTTCAGTATTACCTTCTACCTCTGAGAATCACTTGAAATGACACAAGTGTGTAAATAACATTATTTGTACATCAGTCTGGGAAGAGCACCTGGCATGACCATGACTAAGACAGCAAGGCAGCTCCCAGCAGCCTTTCCTGAAGCAGCTCTTTATGGAAACTAAGCTCTGGAACAGGAGAATTACTTTCTATAACACAGTAGCTCTGCAATGCTGACTCCTCGAAGGTTTTCTTCTGAAGACAATGTATGGGAGGGGGCTAAGGACAGCTGGATTTGAGCCAGCATGCTCTCTCTCATGAAGGCCTAAACCTCAGCAAATGAAGGCAGGCAGGTCCAGGCTCAGGACAGCTGCTTCAAACTTTAGTTCCTGCAGGATACAGGCCAGGTTCTATCTTGATTCTGTAACAGTGTTTCTGAATCATTCCTCAAATTCAGAACTAGGCCAAGCTGATTAGCTAGAAGAGAAGCGACAGTGTCCTCCATTATTAAGTAATCTCAGCCCTGAAAGTTTGTGCCCAGTGAAACTCTTCTTTTCTTCAGTTTCTCAGACTACCACTACAAAAACTGAGAACTTCAACATAGCCTCATATGCAATCAAAAAGAATTCTTTTATCATTTTCCTACCACCCCTAACGCTCAATACTTATTAGAATTGTAGCAAATGTGTTTATTAAAGGGAGTGTATGACCGAAGTTTGTGACTGAACTTCTGCCCAAAAAAGGACTGTTGTCTACTAAGAGAACCAGAGACAAAGCCTGGCTTTGCCACCCTCTTCTGTCAGCTTAGCACAACAGCAGCGGACTGGGACAGCAATCTCTGAAAGGCTAGAATGGCAGCTGTTTGATGAGTTACCAAGGCAACAAGATGTCCTTAAGGAGGTCTTCACAACCCCAATCACCTCTTCCCACCCTCTGGAACCAGAACCGCGTCTAAGGCCCGCAGCACTTGCTGTGCGCATGCTCCCTTGGACAGGAGTCTACTCTCACTGTTCCGAATCAGCCAAGGGCCAGGTCTGCATTCCCCACTGAGAATGCAGACCAAATGCATTCAGAGTACTGACTGTGTGGCAGGAACTGTGCTGGATATATCCAGCATCTCACCGAATTTCACAACAACCAGAGGAAGTAAGCAAGAACTTACAGGTGAGGAAACTGAGTTGGGAGAAAGTCTTTTGCCAGGGTATGTGGCAATTGTGGGAACAAGATTTCAGCCAAAAAACTATAAACCCTGGCCCCTGTAATTAATACTTAATCTCAATGGTTTTCTTTCTTTATTTTTTATTACAATTTATTCACTTTGTATCCCAGCTGTATCCCCCTCCCTTTCCCCTCCCAATCCTGTCCTCCCTCCCTCTTCTCCTCCCATGCCCCTCCCCCAGTCCACTGATAGGGGAGGTCCTCCTCTCCTTCCCTCCGACCCTAGCTTATCAGGACTGTCTTCCTCTGTGGCTTGGTAGGCTCCACACACACACAGCCCCAATAGAGAGTGGTTTTCAGATATTAGAAAGTGTCCGTCCCAGCCTGGGGAACTTGGTTGAAAACAAAAGGTCTAATCTCTGTCTTAGCTGATGGAGGCTGGGTTTCTGCATGCTCTTGTGCAGCTTTCAACTAGATGACAACCATTATTCTACAGTTCTTACCCCTTCAGTGATGTTGTCATTATTAGAATTATAGAATTGTGGTCTTTACAGCTGGGATTTCATAAAGGAACTGAGAAATATTGGAAATATTGGTAATAGAGGAAAATTCTTTGTTTTTCTTCCTTCAGTTTTTTTTAAATTTTGTCAATGTACATTTGAAACTACCTCTGAGAGAGCATTCCATTCAATACACTAAACAGTGACCCAGTCTTTCCAAAATCATCATACAATTTCAAAGGCTCTTCTCAACAATGAAGACAAGGAGTCTGGGTCACTCACATGTTTTCATGAACTGCTTTCATGGCCTTGGCTGCAAAGCCCATGTTCCGTAAGACCTCAGTGTTGGTGTGTGAGTTCTCTAGAGCTTCTCGCTGGAACTCGATGGTGGAAAGGGTGCCGTCAATCTGAGTGAGCTGCTTCTCAAACCTCTTCTTTCTCTTCAGGGCCTGCAAGGCAGCTACATCAGGAAGAAAGCAAGGTTTGTATCAGGAGAATCAGCTATGCTTACTTAGGAGGCTCAGACCATGCATGATGCATGGACCCAGAACTGATGAAACCTGAAGACAAACAGCACATTAATCAACTCAGAGGCACTTACAAGGTACATCTGCCGCTCCATCTCTACACCAGACCTTCTCTCTCAAACACCCTCTCATTCTTTCTTCCAAAGATCTGGCAAGTGTAAGAGGATGGGGAGTCCTCTTTCATAGTCACAAAATAAGCCACAGAAATGTTTATGCTAAAGCTGGATCTAGGGGAAAGTATAGGTTAGACATATTAAGAAAAGCCATGCAATAAAAAGAAAATCAATCTTTACAAGAGGAAAGGTTGTCGTCAAATCTAGTCTTGTTTTCTTAAAGGCAAATTTATCAAGACCCAAAAAAGTAAAGTGATTTGCTTAAAGGCAGACAGCTTCTGGAGCTGAACATCTTGATCTGAACTGAGATGGCCCTTCAGGTTGCACCTAACATGAGTGTACATGAAATCAACACAGCTAAAGTTCTGCTCAAGAGCTAGATGGCTCTCTGGTGAAAGAACGAAGCAGTGCCTCTGAGAAATAAGATCTGACTAGTCCCCTACAGGCCCTTTACCTCCTTCACCATGAAGCCATGAAACCAAGAGGATCCTTTGATTGGGGCACCCAGTCGGATAACGTCCAAAAAGGCCACAACATCCAGTTTGGCAAGGCATTTGGGGAAAATACAAGAACAGCAGAAATATGCTCTAATATGTGCAATACATAATACACAGATAAAAGATACCAGATTTGGCAAAAGAAGTGCAATAGTTTGTGGATTCAGAAGGAAGTAGGTAAGTTATCACAAATGTTAGGAAAAAAATTCCTCAGTCTGCTCTGGTCGATCTGTTTCTGCAGATCCAATGGATTCAGTCATTTATTCCAAAGATTTCTCATTGTGCGGAGACTCACACAGCCATGACCTTTTGGTTTTCACTAGTGATTGATGCAGCTCTTTTCCTCCCCTCTGGCTGCCTGAGGGGCAGCACCACCAGGAGTGACACAGTAGCTGCCTGAGCCAAGAAAAACAAATGCTTACTACTGAAATCCTCCACACTGAGAAGGGAACAGAATCTAAGGCAGAAATTTAAGAAAATGTACAAGACCACAGCCCACACACCCGTTCCATCTTTGCATCTGAATTCAGAATCCGCTTTGGTGGCAGCAAGATGCCTGGCTTTGGCATGGTTTGTGATTCTTCTGATACAAAGCAAAATCAACCCGAATGTAAAGTGACCAGCTGTGGCATAGTGTGAGAAGGAAAGCCATGCAAACAGTGAAAAGAATGTAAGAACCAAATGAAGACTCTCGGGACGGCAGAAAATCTCTCCTGTACTTTACTGTCCTGGATGCTGGCTTCTGCAGTCCTGTCATGATTGGCAATTTTTTTTTTATTGTTGTTAAAGAATAAACCTCAAAAACTTTTTTGAGAATCCATATTAAAATATATATATACTCAATCCCATTTTATCCCTCTTTCCTTAAATTCCCTTTTACTTTATGTTTAATTAGCGTTCTGGCCTTTTAAAATTATAATCAGCGTGCAGTATTTTTTTATGTGACTCTATTTCAAACATAGTTCATTAGCTTGTTTAGTTGCCCATGAGACAGGATCTCATGTAGTCCAGGCTGGCCTCAAACTCATGAATGTCTTGCCTCAACTTCTAGTATCCGAGAATCTCAGGAATGCAAGACCATGCCTGGCTCAAAACTAAAATACCTGTTGCAAATTGCATGTAACTGACAACATGCTTGATAGTCATTATTTTTAATGCATATTTTAGTCTCATTTATTGTAATAACTAATTTGTTACCAATGTGATATTTTGTACATTTTCTGCTTATTTATTCATTATCCTCTTTTTTCCCCATTATGTGGAATGATAAATATCTTTGTTCATTTTTACTTTGATTTGTTTTTATTGATTAGTTGTACATACTAAATTTAGACCTCTGATGCATATACTTGTATTTATATTTGTGTATACACACATATACATACATACATGTGTAGTTGTAAAACCCTGTTAAAATTAATATCTACATGTTATTGTTTGGAAACTAGATTCTCCTGGCATGACAGTCTACAATATCTCATTAAAATAATCAAAAAATTTACTTCTATAATCCCATCATTTCAGAGACGTAGGCAGGGGAGATCACAAATTTGAGAAAGGCCTAGGGCACCATAGCCAATGTCAAGATAGCCTGATCTACACAATGAGATCTTTTTATTCAGTAAGATACATTATTAATAATAATCAGGAGTTTGGTTAGTTGATGTTTGCTGATCTTTTTATCATTTCAACTTTAAAGGACTCCTGTTAACACCCCAATTAAACTTATTTTGATTGACACTGAATATAGTGTTTACTGGTTTATTTTCTTACTATTGTTCCCTGTATCTCACATAAGTCTAGTTCTTATATTTAAAACATTTTTCTGGAGTGAGTCTTTTTTTTGTTCAGGAAAATATTTTCACACACACACTTACATATGTAAACATATAAAGGAAGATACACATAAATCCTCTGAATACCTACGTGTCTAAAAACGCCTTCACTTTATTAAAAGTGCTAGCTTAAATTTTACATACCCCTTTATTAAAACTATTTCAAATATTTAATATGCTATTCTACTGTCTTTGGGCAGTAACATTTCAGCAATTCACTTAAAAACAAAAACTCGTTACTTTGTAGGGAGATAATGTGCTTTTTCCAGAACTCTTCTGAAAAGAGTTAATATTTTGTTTTCATCTACAAGTTATGAGAGTTCAGCAGCAGATGAATGGGTACTGCCTTTCTTTTCTTAACTAACCATAGGCATTACCTTATTTTAACCATCCAGTGGGTACTCCCTGGCAACAAACAGGGCTGAGACAGCTGGTGATGTCTTTCCTGTTTCTGAGGTGTGGGGCTCAGCACACTTGTGGGCACAGGTCCATTTCATCACCACAGGCCGCAGGGATGACGCTGACTCTGCCAAGGGCCACACAGCACAGCGGCATTCCTTGCAGGCCACGCGTGGTGCTGCTGACGGTGACTCAGGCATTCTAGTTGATGGTAGATGATGGAAGTGCCTGGCTGTCGCTGGCCTGACCTCTGCCCCGTGGCCACCACGACCCCTTTGAGGTTGGCCTCGGGCTCCACTCCCAATCTTGCAGTGAATCTGCCCATTGTAACACAAGGAGTTGAGGGCCTTCAGTCAGTGCTCTGCCATCTTCTTCCTCCTGAGCAGGAAGTTCGCAAGGCCATCCATTGCAGATGAGCAGGCATAGTGGCTGCTCTTCTCGCTATGGTGTCTGGATACTTTTATATTGTAGAATCAGGTTTTTCTTCAGCTTGAGAAAATGACTTTTCTATTATTTCTTTTGTTTCTCCTCTGTTATTTCTATGTACTCTCTTCCGAAACCCTTATCTTTATTTAATTTACACCTTTGCCGCCTTGGTGAACATTTTCTTTTTTTGTTTTGTTTTGTTTTGTTTCTCTTTTGAAATCCCTGTGAGTCTCAATACTGACTCTGTCCTACTTTTCCTCACCATGCTTCTTTGCAGGAGATTTTTCTGCTGAATACAAGCAGGGGGGAAAGAAAAGTTGTTTTGAGCTTTTTGATAGGGTCTTGCGTGGCCCAGGTTGGCCTGAACTCCTGATGCTCCTGATTTAGCCTTTCGTGGTGATTTTAGTACGTGCTACCACACCTTCCATCATGTTTTTAATTTCTAAGAACATATTCTAGTTTCCTAGTTGCTGACTATGATGGCAGCCTATTATTGCCTCATAAAGGCAATAGCTTCCTTAGTCTTCCTGAATACAAACATAACTTGATTTTTTAAAAGTCTTTTATTCTCAACATTCTCTCTCTACTGTGACCATTGCTTTGTTTATTTTCCTTCTCTTGAAATTCTTATCTTCTTCTACGGGTTCATATTTATAAATTTAAAGACTAGAGAATAGTATGCCCTGTGGATTGATATATAAAATAGCTCCTGGAGAAGGCCATCGCGCAGTGGAGAGAGGGCCGTGATTTCCTTCCATGGCAGGCATAAGAACAGCTGGTGATTCCTACACTCTGGCTTTCTGACACTATCAATTTCTTAGCAAATACTAATGTTCTTCCCTGCCCTCCCTGTCCTCTCAGATTCTCTGCCCACCTGCCCAGCTGGAGGTTGAGATCTGCCTAGAGTCTGCTTTCTCTCCCTTTTTGCATGCAACATCCACAGTTGGAGCCCTTGATAAACAGCATCTACATTGTAATTACAGAACAGTTCTCATTTATGTAACCTGTACTTTAGGGATTATCTAAAACTATTTTTTTAAGTTAACTGATCTAAAGTCCTTATTGTAATATCACACTTAAGTAAGGCTGAGCATATTAATGATCAGGCTGGATGAGGGACTCTCAGTGCACAGGGAGAATGGCCAAATGACCCTATTTTTGTCACTCTGCCCAGGGACTCAGAACTACTGTTGGTCTATGACACTGGTATTGGTCATTTACAAAGTCCGTTCCACCACACCTCAACTACGCCTAATTATAAACCCTTTAAAAATGGTAGAGCTGCTTATGACCCTATTTTCTTAGCAACCGCTCAAGTTCCTAGTGCAGTCAACAAAACTAGGAATTTCTATATATTTCAGTGTGGCAGTTTGAGTAAGAATGGCTCCATGAGCACATATATTTGGATACTCAGTCTCCCACAGACTGGAAGTATTTAAAAGGATTAGAAGGATTAGGACGTATGATCTTGTTGGAGGAAGTGTGTCACTGGGGACTGGCTTTGAGAGTGCAAAAGCTCATGAGAGGCCCAATTTCTATCTCCTCTCTCTCTGAGGATTGATATGTAAAACTCTCAGCTCCTTCTCCAGCATCATATCTGCCTGCCTCCATGTTCTCCATCATGATGACAGTGGACTAAGCCTTGAAAGCACAGGCTGAAGAG